GTAGACAGTTGTATGTCGTAGGTTCACATCCTTCTAGTTGCTGTACGTGGGACTCGGCCTCGCGTTGGACGGAGAAGTGGTGCCCCGGGGCGCGCCCGGGATCCGAACCCGGGCCGCCAGCATCAGAGCGCACGCCCTTAACCGCCAAGCCACAGAGCCGGCCCATCTTTCCCCTTTTGAGTGCTTATGGCTTATACCTCTATTAGTGTCTGCCCATTGTTGAGAGGGGGGACCTTGCCATGCAGCTGTGTTCTCTTCTAATCCCAGAGCGCTGCCCAGAAATCTGGTGGTGCAAACGCTCAGTAAAAGTTAGAAGACTGATAATAATGTTTAACTCCACCAGGGTACAGGCACTGTGGGCTCTAGGCCGTTGTCCGAGGCCACCCGTTATCTTTCCCCATTGCTGTCTTAGCTCTGAATTTTTTGTAGCTATTATTGAACTCTGACCCATCTTAAATGCTACCTTCTGTGCAGGCCTTTACTAATTACCCTAACCCATAAGGTTGATCTGAGTCATCTCCAAATGAATGACTAAGTTTTGTTTGGCACAAACTCAACATGATATTCATTGTTAACTTTACGTGATTTGTCTTTCGACATAGGCTTATGGAATACCCACACACTTCTAGGTGCTGGGGATACAGCAGGGAACAAGCTGGAAGGTCTTTGCCCTCAAGTAGCTTTACAGCCTAGGAGAGTAACAGACAATGTGACGTGTTATGCAGAAGAACTATGCTCTGAAAACACACCCCAGGCCTAACCTAATCAAGGGGTTAACCAGATTAACTAAGGGTACTTTATGCTACTTTGTAACTCCCACAGGGCCTGGTACAATCTCTGGATAGTATAAAAAGCAGACAGGTTACCTATCTGATCACTGGTTTACATTGTCATAACTCATCAAAATGTACACTTAATGATTGTACATTTTATTGTATGTAAATTATACCTCAATAAAGTTGATAAAGATCTGTGAAGGTAGATGGTATTCATTTGCTACCTGAACAAACACCACAACCACACAGAAGGAGATATAATAATCCCATTTTACAGATAAGGAAACTGAGGCTTTGATCAATAAGGTTAACAGCAAACAAGCAACTAAGCCAGAATCCACATCTAGGACTGTCCGACTCCAGAGTTAAGGCTTGTCATTAATCACTGGGTGGGTCCAGGGCTGGCATACAGGTGCCTGCATCCTAAGTAGGAAAAAAAGAGACCTGAATGGTAGCTGTTTGGGCAATTGGTTTAGAAAAAGTGCCACGTTCCTTCGGTGTATTAAACCCCTTGATGGCGTGAAAGACTTGGTGATTAGAGGCTGGGCTGGATTTCAGCCGGCCATTCCATTCTTGAACACAACTATAGGTAGCAAGCAACCCAGGTATTTCACGAGTTTATGTGAGCAGTAAGCACTGTCTCTGTTACCAGAACAAAAAATGTCATTATATAAATACATATTTTTTTGTGTTACACATGGGTGCTCATGTGATTAAACCAGTTAATAAATTTATAACACCTTTTGTTATTTTTTTAATGAGTATTCGTTCAGTTACTATTATGTGGAGATTTGGGAAGTTTTTCAATGTTAAAAGAGAGCTTTCAAAAGTTGAGTATAACCCTACCTAGTGTGTTGCCCTTTGAAACAGACAAGACAGAACTGTACCTGGATTATGTTTTATAGGTCCGCTAGAAAGGGAAAAGACTTGGATGGAAAAAGTTTTAAAAATTGCTGTCAGGAGTGGGAAGGATTAGATAGCGGATGACAGTGTCAATTTTAAAATCAGGAAATGCCGGTGTAGTGGATGCTCTGGTGTGCAACCTTTCAGGACCGAGACACTCACTCCCTCAGCTGCTGGGACTGTCAACAGCTGACAGCTCTCAGTTGAGTCCTCTCCAGCAATTGTCCTCAGCCAAACAGAGCCGCTTTGCCCAAAGTCATATTCCTTCCTTGGGGGCAGCCCACCTCCAAAGACTGGTCTAGGAGGGGTATAAAGGCTTAGCCCCTTTGCCTTGTGAACACAATTATGGATTGTCCCAGCTCCAGATCTCTGTTGTTCTGCCCGGTCCTGTTTCCCTGACTCCTCTCAGGTGCTGGTCCTGAGAGTACCACCCAATAAAAAACCTGCATGCAACTCTCAAAATCTCAGAATCTGTTTCCTAAGGAATTCAACCCATTTGGGTTGGTACGAGAAGTGGTAGTAGAAAAAGACTCTAAGATGAAATTTTGAAGATGGATCACCTGCCAGCCTGCTGGTAATGAGAACCCCCTCACGGGTGGTGGTGGAGCACCGACAGCCCCTGGAATGCTATGGCAGTTGTTAAAACTCTCATCAGTGGCAAACTGGAATGGGATGCCAGTGGAAGGGAGTTCACCAGCAGATGCAATATTTTAGGAAATAGTAATTATGAGAACTTTGGAATTGGAAGGCCATTTGGGGGGGGGCTCATTAATTCATTAAAGAAAGAAAATTAAAAACTGAGGGTGATTAATTGCCAATATCAGACCAAGTATGAGAGCCAGAGGGTCTCTCTGGGAGCATATAAAATGATTCACATATCCTGTAGCCAGAGGGCAAAAAAATCTGTGGGCCAGACCCAAAACCTAAATTATAGGAGTAGCAGAGTTCCAGAGAAGGTTAAATTCTCAGCCCCACACAAGTCTGTTACACCAAGGTCAAGGCCCTGACTGGGAAAAAGTCAAGATGCTGAGACTTGAATTGGAGCGATCTTGGGCTGATGCATTCGAAAATCTTAAATTTCTATATTTCCCTGAACACTGTTGATCTACAGAGGTAACCCATTCTTCCCTGTTAAAGGCTGATGCTCCTCTCTTG